AGTGGTACATATACACAATGGAATACTACTCAGCTATAAGAAAGAAACAAATCCTACCATTTGCAACAACATGGATGGAGCTAGAGGGTATTATGCTCAGTGAAATAAGTCAGGCAGAGAAAGACAAATACCAAATGATTTCCCTCCTTTGTGGAGTATAACAACGAAGCAAAACTGAAGGAACAAAATAGCAGCAGACTCAAAGACTCCAAGAGGGGACTAGCGGTTACCAAAGGGGAGGGTGGGTGGGGAGGGAGAGAGAAGGGGTTTGTGGGGTATGATGATTAGTGCACATGGTGTATGTGGGGTCACAGGGAAGACAGTGTTGCACAGAGAAGACAAGTAGGGACTCTGTGGCATCTTAGTACACTGCTGGACAGTGACTACAATGGAGTATGGGGGAGGGACTCAATAATAAGGGTGAATGTAGTAACCACATTGTTTTACTTGTGAAACCTTCATAAGAGTGTATATCAATGATACCTTAATAAAAAATAATATATATATATACATTCATATATGCACACCAAAAAAGAATAATGCACATCTTGTAGCTTTCTTTTATAACTAATATGAAATAAATGCCTCTATATATAAGTGTGCATCTACAACAGAATTTTTAATGACTCCATATTTCACTATATGAAAATGCACAATTTATTTAGCCAGTCTGCCATCTTAACATTTAAATTACTTCCTTTTTATTTTTATATGTATAATACGTATGTATGCATTTGTAATCATAAACAATAATCCCATGAAAGTTCTTGCTCATTTGTTACTCTAGAAGAGGAAGCCCTAGATCTAAGGGGATTAAAAAAAAAAAGACATTTCTTTCCTACTGTCAAATTTCTCTCCAGATAATTAATAGCAATTTAAATCCACACCCAAATCACCACTGGCTATTATCATTCTCTTTAATCTTTGAGAATCTGATAGATTATTAAAACCAGTATGCCTATATTTAATTTACATTTCTTTGATTAGTAGCAAAGTTGACTACTTTTTCATGTTTAATGACCATTTATTTGTATGTCTGTTTTACAAATTTCCCACACATGCCCTTTTCCCATTTTCCTCAATAATTCTTTATCTTTCTTGTGGATTTGTAAGAGCTCTTTATAGACATAAGAATACCAATTCTTTCATTGACCATATTTTAGTCAGTTTGCCTTTATATAAAGAGCCTTTGGTGTATTTAAAAAAAAGCTTTAATTTCATTAAATCTACCAATATTGGCTTTATGTTTTCTATGTTTGGTGTTAACTCTTTTTTCGAAAAAAGTAGCTCATTGTCATTTCTTAATAATCCATACTGCACACTAATAAAGCAACACCTTTATCTTAGTGATAATCTTGGGTTTTTATGTGGCCTTTCCAATCCTTTCCATTGATCTGTTTATTCAGGCATTTTCACTACACTATTTGATTATGGACATTTTCTAATACATTTAAATAGCTGATAAGCCAAATGCTCCCTCATCGCTGTTCTTTTCCAGAATTTTATGGCTATTGTCACACATTTATTTTGGAGGAATTCTGGAATCCGAGTCCCAAACAACATAACTCACTGAAATTTTTATTGGAAATGTTAAATGTATACATTAATTCTGACAGATTTATCTCATTATCACTTTGAGTTTTATCATCCAGGAACTTGGTATATTTCTCCATTTTTCAAGTCTTCCTTTACACTCCTCAATAGAATTCTGGAGTGTTCCTTATATACAGTCTTGCAGATATCTTGATAACTTTATTCATAGATACTTTATCACTTTAGTTGCTGTTGTGAAAGAGTTTTTCCCCATCATATATTCTGTTTCTTTGTACAGAAGAAAGCTATTGATATCTATATATTTACTTTATAACCTGCCACCCATTGAACTCTTGTTGATTCTGTCAGTTTTTTCAGTTTGTTTCTTGGGTTTTGTGGTAGAAAGTCATAATATATGAAGGATTTATGCTCCTAAATATTATGTCCAATGCCACTCTTTGATAGGGCACATTGAAAGAAAGAGGTCCCTAAGAAGATATAATAATATTAAAGGTATCTATAAAATAACCAGAAGAGAGAGCATGATGACTTATGCAAACATGATTTAAGGATGAGGAATTGAGTTCAACATTGAATGGATACATCTACTTATTTTTTCAAAGCTTAGAACTATTGCAAGCAAAAATACAGAATTTAAATATAGGAGTATTTTGAAAGTCACTAAGCCAGTTACAAAACATGCTCTAGTAGTTCCACTTTTCTTCACATCCATCATTGAAGACCTTAAATTGCAAATTCATGCTAGACTGTAAGCATCCTGAGAGCTGGGATCTCCATGCACCCAATGCCTAGCATAAGTGCCTGCAGTAGTACATACTCAATTTATTGAATGAATGAATAAATGGAGAAATTGTCAAGATCAGCTGCAACTGCACCTCAATAAAAGATTATTTCCTGATGTCTTAAAAGGAACACTATATGCACTTCTCAAAGACTTAATGTGAGAAACATTTCTAATAATCCTACCCAGAGACTTAGGTTCTCCCTAATTTTCAGTGAGGCAGTGTGTGTTTTTATGCTTTACTGTGTTACCTCTTTCAGTGATTTACAGCTCACAGCAGCCCACGTGATGACAATGAGACGGTCCTGCCTCACGTTTTCTCCTGTCAGCAGAACACAAACCCAGACCCTCTGTATCCAAGCCCAGAGCTATTTTTACCACACCAAATTTGATTAGTGTGCCCTTGTATTCTCTTTCAGAATAAGAGAGTGTACTCTATCTTGTTACCTCTATAAACAGTAATATATCTGGGTAATAATAGATCATTCTTAGTAAGCACTTCCTAGTGGCTAGGCTTCTGCAAGTGCTTTATGTATATAAGCTCATTTCGTCCCCCAACAACTGAATGTGATGGAGGTGGGGTCTGAACCTAGGCAGATCTGACACCAGAGTTTGTATTCTTAATGATTGTTCTGCACTATACAGCCTCCTACAGCACTTAAATATTTCCTCCACAGATCAATGCGATAGCTGGGGCCACCATATGGTAAAATATTAACAAAGACTACAAGTGAGAAGCCATTTATTTTTGTCCCATCAATTCTTGGTACAATATTGTCTTAAACACTGCTCATGGGAGACATTCATTTTAACTTATCCCCTATCTTCTGTGAATAAAAGGAACTGAAAAGATCAAGTAGAACCCATACCTAAGAGAATAGATGTCATTTACTCCATTGACAAATACTGATCAATCAATACTTTGGGCTCAATATAGCCTGTTGAAGAATTTTCAAGGTAAGAAGTATAAGGTACTCAACATGGTGTCCCCTCCATATTGATTATGCTCCAGTTTGAATACTGTTTTACAGATTTCATTCAGCAAGGTTTATGTCTGCATGCATGAAGTCCTGGGTTACCAAATGGTATTAGCCACCAATGAAGTATTTGTAAACGAATAAAACAAAGCACAGGGTGGTTCTCAGTTTACCTCTCTCTAGTCTCAAAATCTGATTTTTTAGAGTTTCCTTGTGCTGTTCCACTTCTGACTTTTGATCTTCAATCTGGTGCAATTTCTTATGGATTTGTTCTCTGATTTTGTTGAGCTTCCCAATGTCAAGTCGCATCTGATGGACTTCTTCTTCTTTGGCCTGTAATTAGTGAGAAAGAATCAACAAGGGACATTACATACATAAAGGGCCAAGGATTGGGTGATGGTAAACTCAGAACCAATCAAAAGAAATTCTTCCTATGTCAGTGTAAGTTGTTCTATGGCATTAAATCAAAACACACACTGTTTAGTTCTGAGAGAAATTGAAAAACACTATTCTCTGAATAAACATGTGGCTACATACACTAAAAATAATGAAAAGACTGATGAAATCTGACATCTCAAGGTACTTCTGACTTGTTGAATCAAGCAAGACAAGAATGTTGAATTGTACATATCATAAATATCTGAAATTTGTGTACAAATGCTATATTCAATTAGTGATTTTCATAGACTTACAAAGTGATCTCTCCCAAAAGGTTATTAATATGCTATAAAATATTCAAACACTCTTTTGGACCTACATGGCCACTGTAGTGCCATTACATACACTGGTAAAGGGGTCCTCCTTCCTCAGAGTATGTTAGTCGATGAGGGTATGTACAGACAGGTGGGCAGAGCAACACGAATAGGCAAGTCTACATGATGGCAAAAGGTAACAAAACAATAATCATAGCAAAGGACAGCACCAGATTTTGTCTATGGACTTCTATTTGTTAAAAATTCTAATTAAGTCCATTTTTTTTTAATTCTGCCATTCCTAGAAATTATTAGAAGAGTAACCCAGTGCTTCCTGTGCAAATAAAGGTTAGCAATTACCCTAGTCCTTAACAATGAAGAGACTGCACTTAGCTGGCCATGTTATCCTCATATTACTGCTAGAGGTCAAATTTCCATAGGTTCAGAATCTGATACAAAAAATATCCCATCTTTCAAGGTGCCCTATTTGTGTTATCAAAGGAAAGAATTAATGGCATAAGTATTTTTACTTTAATGTCACCTGAGGGGCTAATACATTATTTTGCCTTAAGAAGTCATTTCAGGTCTGCTTCAATTTACAGCATTCTTACAAAGAATGGTTTTGAGTCAAATTATTCTGGGTTGCTTTAATTGATCCTCAGCCTCAGATCCTACAGGGTCCAAATTACTTGACTTAAGGCCCCCCTCTAATTAGGACAATAAGATATTCTAATTAGTAGTTATTAATCCAGACCCCATGATTAGACTTCAAAAAATCCTGGAAAATCTCTGAGACTGCATGCAAAGCAAGATACAAGTTGTGCAAATAAGCATGTGTATGTGTGTGCACACAAAGGCTTTCATCAGAGCTTCAAAAGGGCCTGTGATGTAAAAACTGTTATGATTCACTACTCAAATCTATGTATTATTCTTGATCGGTCATTCATTTTATGTCCAGTATTCTAACATAACCAGAGTAATGTTTATGGATTTTTCAGAATTAGTGATAAACATAAACTGCTCTGGTAAGCACATAGGCATATAATATGTATCCAAGTATAAAACTGTTACACAAATTTAATTTGCAAGCATTCTTCAATAAGGCCAGGGAGACAAACAAGAGGCCTGTCTTGAAATTTGCCTTGGACAGAAGTGAGAAACATGGTTCTACTATCCTGGAAGTAAATACCCAATAGTACCAGCCCATACCCCACCCCTCCAATTCCACCTTGTCCAAATATAATCTGATTTCTTTGTTACTCACTCATGTAAATGGTACATATCTTTGGGAAACTGGTCCATATCTTTGGGAAACTGGTACATATCTTTGGGAAACTTATATGGTTAAATAATTACAGAAATGAACATCTGAGCTCACTTGGGAAATCATTTGCATAATCTTATGGTCAATAATCAGGTTTGCAATTTTACAAGTAAGAACAGAAGTCATCAAACTATCTGCTTCTAATTGGGCATAAAGCAATCACTGTAGGCTTGCACCCACCTCCAATGTATCAAGGCTACCACAGGTTATCCAGCCAAGGGCTCCAGCCACAGAAGCAAACCTATATGAATAGGGAATAAGGGAGGGCATACTAGGGAACAAATAAATCACTTGGTATTTACTTTGAGCTCCAACGCCTTCTGCTGGTTTTCCTGACATAGCTGCTCACAAACCAAACTGTGTTGTTCGTTCTCTTGCTGGAGTTTAGAATTTCTCATCTGAAACTGCTCCAGTTCCTTTGCAGCTCTTTCATTCAGTATCTGAAAGATGTAGAATGAGCCGGCTAATGGTTTTTAATCTGACTACAGTATCTGCAAATCCACACAGGGAGCCCCACAGACCTCCTAGGACGATCACAGCAACCACGCTTTTTTTGTCTTTGTAGAAATTGTTCTTTATACCCTAATGCTCTAAAATTTGATGAATGTTAAATGGCTGAGGAAAATGATGCCGTCTAATGTACAATACAGGGAGCATAATTTTTTTCCTGAGAGCTTTGGGAAGTCTTGTTCACAGGTGGTGGATAAATACTTTAATGCCTGTTTGCATTTGGCAGGCTTCAAATATGCAACAAATGCTATAATCATTGCAAATGAGCTAGGGATTCAAACAGGTTTTGGGAAGCTATGTCTTCAGAAGCAAATCCTGCATTAACATGCCTACAACATTTTCGTGAACAGAACCGTTCACTAACATTAACAGAGGGACAATTCCCCTTTAATCTAACTAAAGTCAAAACTGTGGAACAGCAGTGAAATGATTTATATCTGCCTGTCTTTAGTATCTGTCGGATTTTCCTCTTCGCTACCTAGACTATCCTGAGCAGACATGGTTTTGCAAAAACAGAGGATTTTATTTCGGGGGGTCATTTCTATTAGGAGATAGAGGGATAGCAAATGGGCTGAAGGAAAAAGAGAGAGAGAGAAGATAGTTTATATACTTAATCCAAAATATAATTTCCAAGCAAGCAAAAGTTAAACATGGAAAGAATCTATCCAATTTCCCATCAGTAGAGACTAAATAAAACACAGCCAACTATGCTAAAAATGAAATTGTGCTTTACATGAGTTCTGGATATTGCTAAACAAAGTACTACAATTTTATCTTAATGTCCAAAAACTTCTCAAATTTCATGCTCAAAAAAGTCTCATGTTTTTCTTGTGGATATTTGCACAATGTGCATTATCTATTTGATATCTGACTTTATATTAAATTATATATAAAATTAATAAAGCTACTAACAAAGAAATGTGTTCTAATATCTTTTTTCTAAGTAGAAACATGCTGTGTGGCTTTGAAAACTTTTAAAATGAAAATATTTTCAAGAAATGACTTTTCTCATTTATATGAATTGCTTCTCTAAGAAACGAGAAAAGAAACACTAGAACTATTTGAGTTACTTTAAACTGCTACTATGGGGGAAATGTTTTTTAAAAATAGCATATTTAAAATGTGTAAAGACGAAGTATGGTTTCCTAAATCTGAAACTTAACAATAGACCCATTAAAAATAAATCATGGTATAGTCACACATTGGAATACTATATAGCTATGAGAGTAAATGGTCTACTAAGCTCTGCCCAAGAGAACTTTCTGGAGTGATGTAAATGTTTTCCATCTGAGCTGCCCAATATGGAATCTACTAATCGCATGTGGCCATTGAGCACTTAAAATGGGACTACTGCAATGGAGGAACTGAATTTTCATTTTATTTAATTTTAAGTAACAAGTAGCTACAGGTAGCTAGTGGCTACCACATTGGGCAGTGAAGTCCTATGACAGCATGGCAATAACATAAGTGAATTTCACAAGCTGAGAAGTAAGCAAAAGCAGCTAGACCCAAAAGAGTACATCCTGTATGATCTCATTTCTGTACAGTACAAAAACAGGCAAAACTAATCTCTGCTTAGAATTCAGAACAGAGGTGACCTTTGGCAGAGAGAGTGCCTGAGAAGGGGCACAAGGGGCTTCTGGAGTACTGTTTTTGGGGCTGGGTGCAGGTGAGTAAGATGTGTTCAAATGGGGAAGATACATCAAGCTGTACACTTGTGACTCATATACTTTTTTATGTGTATATTACTCATCAGTAAAAGATTTTAAAAGAATTTAACCTGCTGGAGCTGAAAAAAATGAAGAAAAGGGTGCACATATCCACCTATACAAGCTATTCAAAGACCAAATGTAGTGCTGGGTGTTGTATTACCCACATCTACAGTGAAGGGAGTTTGCTTTCCAACCGAAATTCAAAAAGCTGCAACAGCCATGAACAACAGCAACTTTCTTACTTTATGAGGACCCACAGCAGAGCCCACACCCAGAGCACCTTCTGCTCCTTCAGCTGCTGCTCCAGCTTCTGCAGCTCCTCCTTGCTCTTCTGCACATACTGCTGGAGGGCCCTAATCTCTGTCTGCCTGGTGCCCATGTCTGTCTGAATCTGCTTGAGCTCCTTCTCCAGTTTTTCCTTCTTCCGAGTCTCCCGCGAAGCTTCGTTCTGACGTTGCTGGATTTCTTGCTGGAACTATAGACATAGAAAGGACAGGCAGGAAAGAAATAAAGCCCTCACCAGAACAGGTGAGCCAACCTTCTCCCTCTCCCAGATCTTTCATTTTCAGGACACTTTGTAGTGGTATTTCCCCAGTAGGACAGTCATCTTTGAACTCTCATGTTTAAACTTTTCAAGAATGTTCTACATTGTGTTTCAAAGCCTTGACACCGGAAGTCCACCCTGATGGTGGGAACAAGTTCACAAAGAATGGCATAAAATCCAATTCAATATAAAAGCTCAGAATTCTAGAGAACTTAAACATGGAAAGAATTCATCTAATTCCCCATCAATGGGAACTAAATAAAATATAGCCAGTTACCCTAAATATGAAATTGTGTTTTACGTGAGTTCTGGATATTACTCAACAAAGCATTAAGGTTTTATCATGATGGCCAAAAGCTATGAAGTCTTTCTCTACACGCTAAGAACTTCCATGTTTTTCTCCAGGAGCCTGTACTGGTGTATTATCTGTTTGAATTCTGGCTTTACATAAAAGTGTTCAGAAGGGTTCAGCTGGAGAGCTTCCTAACAAAGGAAAATGGCCAAGGAAACCACTCCGCCAGGAGCAGGTCACCCTGGCCCTCACAAGGGACTCTCCTTCTTCAGCAAAGTTGTAAGCAGTTCTCTGCCTCAGTGACTTTTCACACAGCACGCTGGGAAGAACGGCACAAGTAAAACTGCTTTTGCCAAACAAACCAGAGGAACAAGCAGAACAGTGGATGCTTCTTTGGGGCACCAGTGGGTAAATTTAAGAGAGGAACAAGAACGGACAGGACGTCTGCAGGGACTGTCCCTCCACCTCGCCTGCATGGCAAGCCGACCTGACTGATGGCCTGCTCTGCCACTTCTCGGCACCGCTCCGTCTCCTGCTGCTGCTCAGTGGTCTGAGCTAAGGACTCTCGTAATTTCACCACTTCTGACAAGAGCTGGTCTCGCTCCTTTGTCACTTCTTCTTTGAACTTCAGTAAGTCTCGGATGCTAAAACAGAAGAACACAGGCATCAGACTAAATGGCCATCTGCTCAGGAGTCCTTGCCAACCTCTAAGTTCATTTGTATGGGAAAGACTTTAGGTCAAGGATTAACACTATTCAGGTGTGAAAGAGAAAGATCTTTATGCCCTGACATAGGAGCTGCTTATTAGTTGTTAACTGAAAAAGAAGTTCCAATAATAATAGGCAGAAAATATGATCCCTTTTCTTATTTTTAAGAAATTATAGTGTCTGTGTGAGTGCATTTTATAGGCATTTTTACAGAAGTCTAGAAAAATAGACACCAAACTGGTAACTGATTATCTCTGAAAAGTGGAACTTAGGCTATTAACGTTGGAGGGATGACTTTTACTTCTTAGTTTACTCACCTCTGTATTATATGAGTTTGTTATACTAAGACTATATATAGTGCTATTGTCAACTTTTGTAATTAAACCTAAGGAGATGTCAATTTAAGAAATTATTTCCTTAATATATCCACTGGAGGGCTATGATCACAGCTATAAAGTCTAAAATGAAGCATAAGCATAAGTAAATAATACACAGTGCCAGTTTTCTATCCATTCACCCATAGAGATTAGTTTCTCCCAAAGGGACACAACCCAGATAAAGTGTTCCCAAGAACAAAATTTGGAAGATCATTCATGATGCTAGTTTTTGGAGAGTATGAGATAATATTGTTGATTTGGGTTGTAAACCAGTTCCTTCCACTTTCAAAAACTATTTACATATGATTTGGCATGGCCATCCACAGAATTATCATTTTGAAAGCAGAAAAATGTTGTCCAATATGATCTGTGCAGCAGGATTAGTCTATAGTAAGGCAGCTTAGCTACTTTACAACTGAGAAAACAGAGAACTTTTACTGGAAGCACTTGCAGCTGACAATCATCAAATGACTATTCAAAACACAGTAATTTGACAATGTCTATTTACCAACAACTTTGATGTAATAAAAATATTTAATAAGGAACCCTCAAAACTGTATTCAAACCCTTCCCCAGAAACAAAACTCGAATTCTAAGGCTATTATTAAGAGAGAGAGCTACGCCTAAGCACGTAGTTGAGGATAAAAATCTAGGATGAATAGTTTCTCCAGCTCTCCTCCTCACCACATTTCAATTCTAGTTAAAATTCCTCCTAACTGGGTCAGAGCCCTCACATTGCTCTTTAGTAGTTGCTCTGATTATGCTTGACTTCTTTAATTAGAAAGTAGAGTCCATTATTATGGACAACACATCTTTCTTTGGTTTTCCTATTCCCTCCCCCCTATATATACACTTAGAACTACCTGCCAACATTGGGTAAATGCATCTAGAAAACATAAGAAACCTAAACAGCATTTAGGTTTGGTTAAAGATGTCTAAGGAAGTGTATAATCATGCCTGACTCATTAATTAGTACAAGGTTTGCATGCCCTGCACAGTGCTAGACTCCTGGTGGGGCAAGTAGAAATGTCTTTCTTCAAGGAGTTCACAGCCTAATAGGGAGAGAAGCACATCAACAAATAATTTCAATACAATGTGGTCAATGCCAGACTTGACGCAGATGTTGGGTCCTGTGGAAACAGAACACAGGGACTCTTCTGCTTGGTCATTGGGCCTGGGGGTGGAGGGGAGGCTGGAACAAAGCTGTTATGGTGACAAAGTGAAGATGGTGTTGAGATGGGTCTTAAGGACACATAGTTGTTTATTGTGTGGAGAAGGGAAGAAAAAGCATTCCTGGCATAGAAACAGTAGGTTCAAAGATGAGGAGGCATGAGCCAGCATGGTATTTCTCGACATGAGTCTAGCAAGGCTGACTGGGGCAGATGTATGAAGGGCCCCAAAAGACACATTCAAGACTTTGGGCTATATCCTGTGGGAATGGGTAGCTACTGAAGGTGTTTGGAACATGTCTGTGGCAGGCACATGATTCAGAAGCCTAGATCTGATGTATGGAGGATGGTAAAGAGAGGAGCTGTCTCCTTGTTGGTAGTCTGTGGCCTAATCCAGCAGAGAACAGGAGGTCTGAAATAAGACATTAACACAGGTGATAGGGAGGAGAGGCAGAGCAAAGTGATACTCAGAAGACTCAATCAGCAAGATGAAGTTTCAAAGGATAATGACTTGGAACCTGTTTTCTGGCCTAGAACCTGAGAAGTAGAAAGGATGGTGGTATGACTAATTATGGTGGAAGATGTGTGAGAGGAGCTGGAAATCTGGGCAGAAAGGCAGCCAGTTCCATCCCACACAAGTTTGAGAAATAAGCCTAAAATCTTTACTCATTTTGAAACTGTAGGACTGATCCTTAGAGAGCCGTAAGTTTAATACAACTACAAATTGTTTCACAAAGAACATTCAAGGTAACACTGGCAAGCCCCAAACTGTCTGTCGAAGAAGGAGACCTCTGCAAAAGCAAGTTCAGCAAACATCAAGCAGGCTATGACCTACTTGCTCTCCTGGTTCACTGACAGTCCAGACCCTTGCTCCACAAGTTTGGTTAGGTTCACTATTTCCTCTTTCAGGGCAAGAATTGTCTCCTTCGCTCTCTGCTCTTTATCATAGGCTGAGTCCACCATCTTCCAGGCCTTTTCAATTTCCTAGATGCCATAGGACATTAATGAGAAAAACCAAACTAGGATTCAATGCAAGGTAAACTGAGTAAATAGAATAAGAAAACAACTATAATACAGTAGTAATCTATGAGGAAAGAAGATTATATATGATAAATTATGCATTGAATTTATATTGGCAGATACCAAGAAGGGACTAGTGGTTACCAAGGGGGAGGGGAAGGAGATAAAGAGGCACAATAATTCACAATCACAGTATAGGTTGGTCATGGGGACGGTAGTAGAGCATGTAGAAGACAGTTAATGACTCTAACATCTTAACTATGTCGATAGTGACTGCACTAGAGTGGGTGAGGATTTAATAATATGGGTAACTGTTGGACCACTGTGCTGTATATTTGAAACCAACATAAGATTGTGTATCAATGATACTTTAATAAAAAAATTTATATTGACTTATGGAGTTGTTCAATATGAGGCAGTCAATACTGAACAGCAGTTTTTAGAAGGGGTACTGACAAAGGTTATTTTTCCTTGTGTGGGTAAGTGTGGTTACAAGGCTCACATACTGCAAGGGCAGCTATGACTATAAGGATTTACTAATAAGGATGCTAAGATAGGTTTACAAAATTGAATATGAAAGCGTTTGTGCTTTCTAAGTCCAAATGTTTTACAGGAAAAAAAAAAAAAGAAAGCTTTATCACATAAGGAATGGTTTCGAATCCAAGCCTTAAATTTGAAGCTCTTGAAGGATTCCAAATAAAATAATGTTTGTCCTCCAGTCCTAAATGAGCTCCTGAATGGCAATGTGAGCTTCAGAACAATGCATAGCAAGGTGGTCTTCACTGTCAACCAAATTGTGTACAATTATATGCAGATTGGTAATTTCCATTAACAGAAAACCAAGCCCAAGCATTCTTCTCCAATGCTAACAGGGTAAAAACAAAACCCGTAACAGGGAATGGAAACAACGGTTCATGCAGCTGTGGCTTCCTTACTATTATGAAATGCAATGTAGAATACTAACATAAATACTCAAGGGTGAATTACAGCCATTTGAATAAATGAACAAAGCCCAGTAAATGTTACAATACCCTTAAGTTTTACCCTGACACTTAATTTTCTTGCAAAATTTCAAGTGAAATGTGAGTTCTTTATACAGGTATATAAGCTTCAGGTGGAAATACTCCACTTTTATGTTGACAAGGAATAAAACGAGCAGAAGAAGGTATTTAAGTAAATTCACACTCACTATTGAGTGAAAGAGAGAGGTGACTTTTGTGTAACTACAGCATTCAAAACAAAATGGAAGTTCATAGGATATGTTTCTCTGTAGCAACCATATGTATTATTTTCAGCAAAACAAATGAAAGATATTTAAAGGAAAATATGATTATATGAAGTTTTGTCCAAATCAACAACACCAATCAGAATTTAATCAATTCATGACTTCCACTTCTAGTTTTTTCATGGACAATAAAATGGTTTTTTCTCATTATAAAATGAATTAAAGCCTTATTGGCTTTTCAGCAAAAAGAAGAAAATGACAATGAAGAGAAAATGACACTTTAGAAAAAATTAGTTCTAAGAAAACATTTTGCAGGGGTCCAGAAATGCATTAGAATTGGGTAATGTCTAACTGCATGATATCAAGGGAATTATCTAAAAAGTTTGTGAATTATTTCTCATCACTAGGGTTTTATTTATAAATTCAAATGTCTTAACTTCTTATCACCCTGAGATCAACAAGGAACATACATGTTTTACCTTCAAAATAATGCAACACACTTGAGGATGAAAAAATTAAGTGTAAAACAAAGCCCCAGCATCCCTCCAATGCCAAATCCCTGTTCTCCCATTAAAAGGAACTGGGAGGATCAAGGTAATCTCTCCAAAAACGAGAAAAATGTAAAAATATGAAAATACCTTTAACAAACTACCATTGTGAGATATTTAATTACTCGTGTTGTATCATGTAAGACATACGAAATATCACACTTACTTATCTCCAGTTCTTTTTGCTACCCCAGTATTTCTTAGAAACCAAGCCAGGAAGGTCCTACATTATTTTCCACATAGTGAAATTCACCCGGACTAATATTTTTTGAAAAATGCACTTCACTCCCTAGGCTTAATGAATATATAAATCATGTAAATTTATATTAATAACTCATTTACTACCAGCCTAGAGCTGCCAATATAATGATAGAATGATATTTTTTAAAGAGAGATGCACTGATGGCAGCTCTCCATTGGTTCCATTTCTAGAAGATCACTGACCTTCTTCAGGGATGCGATGGTGGTCTGATCATCCTGAGAGAGCTTCAGGGCAGTGGCAACCTTTGCAGAATTAACCACAATCTCTGCGTTTAGCTCTCTACATTTGGCCATCAGACGTTTTTCATTGTCGTAAGACTTTTTCATGACAGCATGAAGCTTCTCATATTCAATCCTAAATCGCTCCAGACCTTCATCTCCTGAAAGTTCATTGAGAACCTCCTGGAAATCTCTTTCGATTTCCTCAAGTGCAGTTTCTTCCAGTATTACTTTTTCACCCTTTTCCTGTACAAAAAAGCAGGGATGGGAGTAAGCTTTGCAACATTTACCCCATTACTATTCAGGAATTAAGGTTATTATCCATGAATATAAGACCTTTATACAAGAAAACTAAAAGCCACTGACAAACAGAAAAATTAAGACTGCAGGATGGGAAGGCTCCTTGCTCATCCCCTGGTGCATGGATTTGTACATACAAATGATGATGATGTATTTGTACACAGATGAATCAGGATTACTATTTCCTACCACATGGTGTTAAGGAATAGATTAAATGGGATCATTAATGTTAAACACTTAGCCAAATGCCTGGTAAGTAATAGGCACTCAAATTTTGATAGCTGTTATGATTATTCCAATTATGTTATAATTATCTCTTTTCATTCCATCCTGCTTCTCACTGCCCCCAGGACGGCAGAGGGAAACCCTGGCATGCTGAGATCAGATGTAAGGAGATCCTGGTAAAGATACCATGAAACCACACATACAGTGAAACCTATCTGAAATATGGAATACTCTCCTAAAAGATAGTCCATCATTTTTATCCCTTAAAAATGTTAGGCTAGGTCATCTCCACAGGTATACTGACATGCCCCCTTGTACAATCCTCATGGGCCTTTTCCACGTGTGTTTTCCATAATTAGCTGGACAACAAATTATTTAAAAATATAATTCCAGACATACAGGTGTAATTAAAACAAGTCTGGCTATGACTAAGAGGAGAACCCAGGAGTTACATATATAAGAATTAATTCCCTACTATTACGGGTTGAAGTGAGTCCCCTAGAAAAATAGGTTGAAATCCTAATCCTTAATACCTGTGAATGTGACTTTATTTGGAAATAGAGTCATTGCATGTATAATTAGTTAAGTTTAGGTCATACTGGAGTAGGGTGGGCCCTACTCCATCCAATATGACTGGTGTCCTTATAAAAAAGGAGATAAATTAACTGTTTAGTGATAGGTGTTAACTAAACTTATTGTGGTCATCATTAAATAATATACACATGTATCAAATCATTGTTATATACCTAGAACTAATATGATGTTACATCTCAACTACATTGCAATTTTTAAAAGCTGGGGGTTGGATGGGGGGTGGTTTGGACACAGGCACAGGTACAGGAAAATGCCATGTAAAAACGAAAGCAGAGGTTAGACTGAAGCAGCTGCAAGCTAAGGAAAGCTAAGGTCTTCTAGCTACCACAAGAAGCTAGGTAGAGATAAGGAAGGATTTTACATAGAGTCTGAGAGGGAGCATGATCCTATCAATACCCTGATTTTAGACTTCAAGCTTCCAGAACTGTGAGACAACGAATTTCTGCTGTTTTAAGCCACCTAGCTTGTGTTACTAAGTTATGGCTGCTCTAGCAAACTAATATACCTACTTCTTGTCAGATACATCATGATAGTAAAAAAGAATGGATGGGTAAAGTTAACATTTTTATTCAGCAAATATTTATTAGCTGCTATATGCAAATTGCAATGATGGAGGCTGTAGGAGTTACCAAGGTAAGAAATAAACAGCCTTCTCACAGGAAATGTATATATCAATAGTTGATGGGATATTTTCAGATAATAGAAGTATAAAATTTGATACATGATATAAAATGGATTCAAAATTCTACAAGGATATATAGGAAGACGGAATTAGTCCCAGCAGCAAAAATTAAAGCAAATTTTATAAAGGAAGTGGCATTTGAGCAAGCCCATAAGGGAGAGTGGACTTTTCACAGGTGGATGTGGAGAGATAGCACATTCTTGGCCCACAGGAAAGCTTGAGCAGAGGGCCAACCAAGTATATAGGTTTTGAGATTGATTAGGCTGAAGTATAATAAGTATTATAGGAAAAAGGAAAGAGAAGACTAGACAGGAAATTAGGTTCAGACTGGAGGCCTTTGAATGGAATTCTAAGGAATATGAAGTGAATTACTTTGTAGGCCACAGGGAACCACTCAAGACTTCAGCAAAGAACTGATAAGATTTGAAAGGTCTTATTTATGTTTGCAACATTATACTTGGATATTCTACATTAAAAAGGGCTTTAACATCACATTCTATTGATAAATAAATCAACTGAGACAATCTCTAATCTCAGTAATAAAGTAAAATTCAAATTCACCCTGCAGATTTGGAGTAAGTAGGCAGTTTACCTTCTGCTTTGACTAGCCTGTCTTGCCTAACATGGAGACAGCCTACGTATTTTTGGTTTACAAAAACACTTGTACTGTTGATTAGATTTCTAAAAATGGCATGCAACCAAAACAATTCACATCTTTTGTCGGATGTGGAGTCATAAATATCTGTAACATTTCATATAACATAAGTACAAATATTAAACAAAACAGAGGTTTTCCTCCTGACTTAAAAGCAGACTGTTGCAAAGACCACAATACAGCAATTCCACAAAGGAGGAAAAATCATATTAAGGAAATATGGTGCTGCTGCTGTTCTGTGCTTTCCCCTCGTTGATGCTAAACATGAGCACACAACAATTTATCATGGCAATGTTCTCAGTTCCAACCCTGTAAATGGTATTAATGTCAACACTTGATCACTAGCCTAATGATTTGTTTGTAGATCAGGTTTTCCCTGTACAGCTGGCACTAAGCACAGGAATGGAAAAATATCAAAAGAAAACTTTTAAAGAAACTTTTATGAACAAAAGAGATTTGTTCATATTGTCATTTAAAAATACACTATTAAAAGCAAAGTAGAAAGCTTTTAGGTGTGACCAATGACCTGCTGGTATCTACACTATTACAGCAATTATAGGTATCTACTTCAGAAGCATGATTTCAATATGAACTGATCAGAAAAGAGCTATGGTGTTCCTTCATTCAACACCTGTGTATTGAGTGTCCACTATCTGCCAGGCACTGTTCTATGTACTCAAAATACCAATCCATAAAGAGAAGGAAAAGGAAAAGAGAGCCACTGTGAAATGAGACCACAGTGGAAACAGAGACCCATGAAAGCAGAGATAAGAAAAATTTGGCTGAGCTCAAGTGACAAGAAAAATTAAAGAAGGCAGAAATGAGAAGAGATACTGAAAAGGAAAGGAGACTGGGAAATAATTCGCTCATGGTCTTGGTATCTGGGGCTTATCTGTGGAAAATGAAGAAGAAAGAAAAAAAAAGGACTAGCAAGGGAGAAAAGGAGGGAACACTCAGAAGCAAATAATGGAAAAAATAAAGAACTAGAAAGCACAGGAGGAAGAAAGGGGAAGAAAAGCGATATGAATGAGGGTGGGTAGTGGGAATAGGCAATGTGACCACAGCAGCATGGATGTGAGAGAGAGAAGAGAGTGATGGAGCCCAAGGAGTGAGGAAGACGGGAGGTTTGGTAAGGAAAGGACCGTATGGTAAGGAAAGGAGGGAGCGGAGCTGTTGACTCAAGAATATGGGCTTTATAAGGGGAGACTGCTACCCGTGAGATGGCGTGATCAGGAGAGTGAATGGTGTAGAGATGACAAGAGAAGGGACTGGAGCAGGGGTAGGGACAGGATGGTGGTAAGAGGAGCTGGGATCATGGTGGCTTCGTGGCATGCAACCTATGCAGCCACACAGGGCACCATGCTCAGATAGGCCCCACCCTTGGTTTAATGCTCTGCTGTCTCAACTTCATAACAATTTTTTAACAAAGGGGCTCTGCATTTTTTTTTTCATTGAGTCCCACAAATTAAATAGCTAATCCTGGCTGGACTGACCACGTGATGGGTGAGATGAGGGAAGGCTCTCTAATGGGGCAATGGTGAATGGGGACTGTGGTGATGATGACAGGGATCTGAGGTTGGCCAGGTTATATACGGGGGTGCTAACGGACAGACTGGGAGTTATAAATGGTTGCAGATATGACCCCTCATCAGTATGGCTGAAGATACATGCACTACAAAGTGGGGGAGTGGGTGGAGGCTACAAGATATGAACACAATGGTCAGTGACACAGGGCAGTGGTGATGGGTGAAGAGCTCAGTGAAGAGGTGTCACAGCAGGTCTTCAGATGATAGGGATCGTGGTGTGACAGGTGGACAAGAGGCAGTGAAAGCGGTGATAGTGGGTATCTGTGAAGTTTTCTTCCAAGTCCCCCCCCAGTGAGACATCAATATTTCTGTGTGTATCTCTCTTTTGGTATCAACTTATGGCTCAAAATCTAGGGGTGGGCGCCTGTCATGTGTGAGTCTGGAACTCATGGATCTCCTACCATGTTTAACACAGCACCAATTTAATAGTGGGGGTAGAGAGTGTCCACCCAGTTGAAAGAGGGACAGGAGGTAATGAGACCAGAACTAACAGAACTAACGAAGACAGGGGCTTCGGGTGAGGCTGTGGGTGGGGATAGGATGTTGGTTGACGGGGAGAATGACGAAATCAGTGGATGTGACAGTGGATAGATAAGTTGACAGTAGAAGAGGAATGAAGGAGAGGGGTCGAACAAGAGGCGACAGAGAGAGGGGCGCTGACTCCTGACCTCGGCCATCCTGGCGCTCTCCGGGGGTGGCCTCGGAGGCTGCAGGGGAGATCGCAGGAAGTGCGCTGCAGTATGAGGAAGGGGCTGTGCACTCCCCCCAGCGACTGAAACGGCGCCACTTTATTTCCCTCCCCCGCCGGGGGCTGAACCCCCGCCAGGAGCTCGGCGCGTCCTCCGGTCGCCTGGCAACGGCGGCGCCTCTCGGGGCGCTAGCGGACGTTCGAAAGGGGAGGCGCCTGTAAGGCCGTCGGCGGATTGTGCTCCTCTAACGTATGCAAGGGACCAAGAAAATGAAGGGCGGTGCCTCTGAGAGGCTGAGAGGGGCCCAAGGTGTACGCGCGTAGAGACGTCCCAGAGCCAGAACGCGAGCAGAAGAGGCGACCCAGAGAAAGGACGGTGCGGGAGACGCCGGAGCCGGAGATGGAGAGCCGAGGTTTAACGCACAGGAGACGTGCGTGGATCAGAGGGCTGTGGATGGGCGAAGGACCGGCAGCAGCCCTCTGCCCTCTAATGAAACGTTTCGGTCGCAGGAACCAGAAATAACCTCAGTTCGAGTGATTTCATCTTTTACATGGAGTGTACAGTAAGACAGAGAAAAGACTGCCTTTAAAGGATTTCGTTATTAGCGGTGAGAAAAATAGGGTGCAGAGTTCTTGGCACCTTGGAAAAACGTTATGTGTAGCCACAGTGAAAATCTGCCTAGCATCTGCGACTCCTCTTGGAAGACCCTGTCTTCTTCCTCTCCCTTGCTCTCTCTCCCCCTTCTTCTCCTTTTCCATCCTCTTAAAACTTCAGGTAGAGAGCCTTGGAGTGAACTCCTCAGCTCATGAAACATGCAGGACCCCTTCTTGTTTTATTTTTTTCCCTTTATCTCCATCCCTTCTCCCACCCCTCATCCTCAACCCCCTAGGCATTCGTTTCCCAAGTCACGGCCCTGCTGGAGGAAGATGTGTACTTTTCTTCCCACAAAATCTCTGTTCCCTAGTCTAGTCAAATCATGAATCTAGAAATTACTATTCAAAAGGTATGCCTTTCTCAAATTCATCTGCCCATAGAGGACATTGTCTTCCAAATGCAGAAAGATGCCTAGTAGCCTGATGGAAGCCATGGGTAGCAAGTACTGCTAGACTGTGCACTAGAACTGCTGCCCTACGCTACACTTCAGTGAATAGTATAAGGGTTTCTGTCCCCCACTCCCATCCTTGCCAGCACATGGTAGTTTATTAATATACACTCACATTAGTGTTCACTAAATGCTATATACTATTCTAAGTGTCTTACAAATACTGACTCATCTCATTAGTGACTTTTCTAATTTCTTTCAGTATCATAGCAGTAGTGTCAACATATTTTTTAGTTTGCACTTCTCTACTAGTGAAATTGAGCATTTCTTCTGCATATATTCATAAGCCACTCGGGGTCCCCTTTGTGAACTATTGCCATATTTTTTACTGGTCTTTTTCCTTTTATTTTCAAGAGGTCCATGTAAGGTCTGAACATTAATCTGCTTTCCAAGACTGGAAACTTTGCCTATGAGGTCAGTTGCAAAACAATAATCCTTAATATTGTAGCCCTTCATCTTCTTTTTGTGTTAACTTTTCTAACATTTTTTTCAGTATGGTTTAAGAAGTCCTCCTCAACCCCAAGGTCATAAAGGTATTGTCGTTTTCTTCTGTTCTTTTATTTTTATCTTTCTCAATGGAGTGAGTCCATTTTTCAAAATCTTTATTCCCAAATATAGATGGGTCTGTGCTGAGCTCTTTAGTTTATTCCTGTGTCAATACCACAAGGCTTTATTAGTATGGTTTTGTAGCCAGTCGCCATGATTGAAAGGCAAGTCCCCCATCCCTAAGTCTGCCAAAATTACACTGGCTATTCATGAACCTTGAACATCCATATAATTTTCAGGATGTTTTTCAAGTTCCTCATGAGAAATTTTAATTGGAAGTTCATTGAATTTATAAATTAATCTGGGGAAAACTAACATGTATACAATTGTACCTTATTCATGAACAGAAACTGTGTATCTGGTGGACAAACAGGACTAAATATGGCTGAAGCATAATGTGTATGGAAATGGTAGAAGAGGTGGCAAATGAAGCTGGAGAAGCAGGCTGAACCAAATTGCAAGCCAAGCTTAAAGAAATGCACTGGACATAGAGCAGACAACACAATTCAGGCTGCCTTGTATGTTTACAGGAAGCCTGATTACACACTGGGACTAGCAACATGTGGGCCCACCATGATCCAGAGAGACTCCATAACAGTCCTGAAGGCACATAACAACAGAGAAAGACCTAGAGGGCCCTGACCACCTTGTACTGTTGTCAGCTGTAGGACTATAGGTCTTCCCATTTCTCAGGAATCTCCTAGACGGCCATTTTAAAAGCAGATGACCTGCTAAAGTAGCAGTAATTCAATCAAAAAAATACTTTTTTTAGGCACGTTCAACATGGCAAGCACAAGACTGGCCACAGGAACCACAGAGATGACTAAGGCAGAGTCCCTGCCCTTTGCATTCACAGTCTGGCTTTGGGGGAAAGAGAGAAAGAGAAATCTGCAATTAATTCTAACACAATATGGTATAATTTAGAACATGACATGTCAACAGCAAGTGTAACAGCAGTTCAGGGAATCCAGACACTGATACCTGAGAGCATTACTTATAAAACAGGGAACAGAAATACCCTAACATGGGAAATCAGGGGACCACAGGAGGTGGAAAGAACTGTGATGTGTCCAACTCACAGCAAAGCAATGCAGGTAGACATCAACACGGATGGATGACTGGATGAGAGGATGGGTGGTCAGACAAATTTATTTATGCTGATAAAAGAAAAGACTTCCATTTTACAGATTACAAAACACTACTAACCATCTGGCTCCTTGGGTGTTGTGATAAAAGGGAGCACTAGGTGGCACCATACTACCAAAAGTTCTCACCTCTTAGAGCCTATAAGAGAAACACCCAAAATTGAGTTAGTCCCTAATTCAGACAAAGAAAGCAAATGAATTTATCAATCTCATTTCTCATTATACCAACTTAATTAATTTATCGAGCATCTACTATATACCTAGTCCTATACAGGGCCCTGTGGAGACTATAAAAGGAGATGAAGAAAGGATTTCCTCCCTAAAGGAGCAAGCAAAATATGCATGCCACTCCTCCCCCACCCACAAAAATGTTTAAAACAACCCAAGGCAGGATGTAGTAAGCACTTCAATGAGGGTGTCAGGATATAACTCCCAGTGTAATCTGGCCCCTTTGACCTTCAGGGGCCTTCTCCCACCACTCACTCCTTGCCACTGCGGCTTCATTCAACTCCTAATATGTCATGCTCTTTCTGCTACTGAGAATTCACAAAGGCTGATCTCTACATCTGCAATACTGGACGCTGCCTTTTCACCTGGACTCCCCTTCATCCTCCTCTTCAGGCTCACTTCCTCAGGGTGACCCTCCTGACCAGCCCTCCAACACCAGACTACCTTTCCAAGTACCATGCCTTCCACTTTTTGGACCATCCCACAGTAGTAATTAATTATGTATTCATGGAAATGGTTGTTTAATATGTGCTTTTCTACCAGGCTATAAAATAACAAGACGACAAGGATCTATATTATCCTGTTCAGCCTTGTGTCCATTGGTGTTATGGACTGACTTGTATCCCCATAAAATTCATATATTGAAGCCTTAACCCCCAGTACGTCATGATATGGCTGTATTCGAAGATAGGGCTTTTAAACAGGTGACTGAGTTTAAATGAGGCTATTTTATGAGGCCATTAAAGCAAGGGTGGCCCCTAATCCAATTTGAATTGTGTCCTTACAAAAAGAGAAAACTCTTACACACAGAGAGACACCAGGGATGCACAGGCACCGAGGAAGAAACAGCAAGGCAGCCACCTGCGAACCAGGCAGAGAGGCCACAGAGGAAACCAAATCCACTGACACCTTGATCTTGGACTTCTAGCTTCCAGAACTATGAGCAAATAAATTTCTGTTGTTTAAACCATCCAGTCTGTGGTACTTTATTATGGCAGCCCCAGCAAACTCATATAAATGGCCATGACTTCTCAGTATGTAAATACTGCGTGAATGACTTGAAGGAGTTCTAAGAAGGGAAGACCAGAGAAGGATGGCCCATTAGGGAAAGGTCCATGGTAGACATGACTCTTGATGTTGACCTTAAATGATACATATGAGTTAGAGACATGAAAAAAAATAGAAGGAGGCTCAAGTAGGGGAAATAGCACTGGGCAGATACCAAGGCAAGAATGCAAAAGCTGCTATAGGGAGGGTGGGGTTCCTATCAGGAACCAGTGTAATTAACGTTGATAAAAGGGTGTGGGTGAATGGTAGAGCTTTGGAATAGCAGGAAAGTGGCTGCAAACTGAAAGACTAGAGATGGGCAAGGACATACCCACTCACTCTGCCAAATAACTTGAATATACAATCATGAGCTATAACACCTTTGCAAAGCTCCTGTTTAAACCTGTTGTAAGTGCCTCCTATAGCAACCTCCTAGGACTTCTAAGCTGTGGGCTGTGACTTAGTAATACAAACAGCATTATGTACACAGTGCCCCCCTCTTCAGGAGCACCCACCCAGTAAGGAGATAAAGTGAAACTCCAGAAAGCAGAAAGAAATACTGACACACAGTCCTACGTAGACATTGCCAGCCTGCACCACAAAGCAACTGTGGCCTAAAAGAAACCTACTCCTCTAATGGAGATCAGAGGGGTCCTAAAGACAATCTTCAGGGAGTCCACACAGTCCATAATCCCCTTCTCTGAGACTAGTAACTCCCACTCAAAAGTATGTTCCTCCTAAACCAAAATTAGAAGGCCCCATCTGCCTCCCTAATAACCATGGCTAAAAGGGTCAGGGATGGAGACCTGACCCACATGAAGTCAGTTCCATTATTTTTCCTGGGGATTTATAATCAAGACTAAGAGTTGCAAGCCATTCATTGCTGGGACCTAGAACTGAGTATGTAAAACCTAGGGAAGGCAGGGAAAGGAAGTTTGCAGAGAGGGAAGAATAAAGCAAATGAACAAGGAGGGGAATCCACAGGCCCAAAAGCCAAAGAGATTGTTGGGGGCAAAGGGACTTCCTTGGAGCCTGGTCACAGTCCCTAGGGAGGCCCAGC